AAAACCAGAAAAAGAGAAGGAGACAAATAAAAAGTCTGGGAAAACCCAATAACAAATAAAAAAAAAAACAGCCTTTGAGCATCAGGACAGAACTGCAAGTATGTGCTACCCACTGGAGCAAAGAAAGAGAAAGCACTTCTTAGCTTGGATCTAAAAGGTCAACATAAGTGAAGAATTTCTGATCTCTCTTGGCCTCCTCTGTTGAGAGGAGAGAGGTGCTGTGCATCCTTTCCAGCAGACTTGCATGGCCTTCTAAAATGCAACGCATGATTCCACACTGTTACACATATCGTGTGCACCTTAAGGTTTTTTGAAAGGATGCTAATCGCTCCATTAAAGAGTTAGAGGAGGGAAATAAGGAAGAGAATTTAAAAAGTAAACAGAAAATTCTATTCTCCTATTCAAAATTTTCAGCCCAGTAAGAGACCCCCATGTCAGCGTTATCCCCCCATTTCCTGCACATCAGGAATGAACCTCATTTTAAAATATAAACAAGCCGGAGACACACTACAGACTCAAGTCCTTTAATTAACTCTCCCCGGTAACAAAAGGTCTCCGTTTTGATTAACTTTGGGGCGGGGGGAGTCAACCCTGGCGTCAGAATCCCTTTAACTAATTGCAAACCCTGTGACTCAACTCTGCTGCTGGCAGGAGCCAGGGAAGAAGAAACGAAACTTTGTCTGTAGAACCCAATTTAAAGGAAGAGTGACCTCGGGGTCAATTTCAGATCAATTCAATTCTCACCTCCACTGCCTACCTGCTGGCAAATGAACTTACTGTGCTTTTCAATAGACTGAAATGACTAAAAAGAAATCGTCACTAGCTGCATGTGAATAACACATTATTAGATGATGCTCGCTGAGGGAAACGGCAAAAACAAAACCCAACCAGTGTTCTCCTTCCTCTCTTTTCTGTCATTCTCACCTCACCAGTGATTAAGTTGTAAGATGCGCCCCTGGATTGTTAATTAGGTGTTAATATCTTCCAGCAGTGTATACCTGAGGTGGTTGCTCCGAGACTGTGTTGTCTCCACTGACAGTACCTGTAATTCCCACAGCTGGTCTGATTTTCCCACTCCACATCTGCAACTGCCTCCCCTCCCCCCCATTCAGTATTAGTTCACATCTGAAATTATATAAGTGCTAATAGCTTTATTATATTTCCTGTAGATGCTGGAAAGAGAGGCGGTGAGGCACACCGAATTTTCCCACTGGCTTACCCTTGTCCCCAGCATTTTCCAAATATTGCAAAAATGAGACCAAAAAGAAAAAGAAAAACCAACCCTTCAGCTTAGCTCATTTATTGCTGATAATTTCATTAGGTGCCAGGAAAAGCAAAAAATGCAGACACTAAACAACAACTTTACAGTAATTTTTGGATGGAGGAAATGAAAGACTCAGCAAGTGGCAGGTGAAGAGAGTTTCAACACTGGCATCTGTGAACGGCCGCAGTCAGTCTGAGATTTTGGCAGGTGACTGAACGTGTGCTTTTAGAACGAAAGCTCTTTCCAGAAGCATCATTTTGTTTTAAGTAATTAGGGCTGTACTTTTGCAAAATTCTTTCTTCCTTTTTTTCCCCCCAAATGCATAAGGCTTCTTTAAGCCATCTCCTTCAATAGTATCCTAGAGTTGACTGCAAATAATATGAGTTCATATGGCATCACTAAGCCAGTTACTCGGTACCTGCTCTGCTATAATTAATTGATTGAATCAGCTTAGCAGTGGGCCAACGCCCATGGAAAGAAAAACATTAGGCAGCCTTGTATGGAAAGGGGGTGCAGTGGTGGTTAGGGGGGAGCATAATCTAAATAAACAAGCAACAACAACAAACCATTAGGTAAGTCCGAGTAATAAAACACTTTAAACGGAATTATTTCCCCTTATTTTCTCAGTGCCAAAAATACATGGATGTAATTTGCTTAAGACATACTCATGGAACTTGTGATGGACGCTCCACATCTGCATGCAAGACAGCATTCTGCTCCTTCCTGTCTTGGGGGATGGGGGATTTACTCTAAAATCTGAGTATTTAGAAGCACCAAGGGGCCTGTAGGGAAGACAGAGTCAAGGCCAGTAGCTGTTCTCACCTGGGCTTTTCAAACGGAGGCAGCAAGAAATCAAAACTTACAGTCTGTGTTTTCATATGTCCTTTGCATAAGGATACCTGATTCACCATTTCTGTTAAAATATTTTGATGGACTCTGCAAGGGAAACACGGTTACGACATCTTGAATTTTATGTTTGAATTAAATAGCTGTGCTGAGGCACCCACCTGGACCAACAGTGGGCATTGGGAGGCCATGCTTGCATTTTATTTCCGAATGCTTATAGGCCAACATGGAGGACAAGTTATACAAAATAGAAACAAGACTTCTGAGCACTTTCACTATTTTTTTGCTTTTACTCCAGTTCATAAAATAATAAAGCCTTCCTTACATTTGCTTGAATTCACATCAGCATAGGTACAGTCAGGATAAACCATGTCCACTCAGCTAATTGTAAGACTAGAAAAAAAAACGGGTGGGTGCTTGGAACCCTGGAAGTGCTGTTTATACAAGTTCCATCAGCTTCTCCCATAGGTGACAGGAAAGCTAGAAACGGGCCTCTCCCCTCCGTATGCATCCCACCTGCCCTGCCCCGAGGCAGCTCTGTAGGCTTGGTTGCATCCGGATGGGTCTTAGCCAATGTCAGGAACATCTGAAATGGGCAGAGCATAGACATGAGCAGGCTAAGGTCCATCCCCACCTTCCGAATTAGTGTTTCAGCACACAAGATGAAAGAACATGTTTTGAAGGCCTACTTTCAACTTTGGTGCAAACCATGGGTAGTCATGTTGTCTCCTTCTGACAATTCAAGCTAAGAGACAGCCTCTAAGGTGAATTCCAAACCCACCCTTCGTATTAGAGTCAAGCAACATCATCAACAATCATAGCATTGTTTCCATGGCAACAATGCCATCAGCACCTTACCCAGGGATGCTACCACAGAAAAAATTACATCAAATAGCAGCATGTGACTGTTGTCTCACTTCATGTTAGAAGATCTTTCTTCAGGAAGCACGACCTTGATAAGTCACGCATTTTGGTAAGTTTGCGTATGTTAAGCTGTAACATGCGCTAATGGAAAATGTTAGTCAGGATCATGGGATACTACAGAAATGGAGAATTCAATCTTTTTTTGATACCACTTAGGATGAATATTTTGTAATTTGCCCAAGAACCATAATATAATCTAGACTGTGTTTCTGAGAATAAATGAAAGGTAATTAAATGGCTCCCCAAATGGCTTGTGACTTAATTTTCATACACTAGCCTAGAAAATTGCCAGAAATGAGGCACGAAGCTGTACAGAGTTGAAATTAGCAAGAGAGCAAAAAGCTAGTGGTTCCCCATTTTTGGCTTCCACTACTGAAATCCCATAAGCAAAGTGACTTTCTGAAAAAATAAACTAAGTAACTCTCCGAAGAGTATCAAGTATTGAACTTTTCATATATCAGCTTATAATATCTAATATCACAGAGTAACTTTAAGGAATTGTCCTTCTCCTCCCGATTCCCCATCTGGCCAAATGCCTTTCTCTTCCTTACTCTCACCTGTCAATCATGTTCACAGCTGAAATTTGATTTCTCTCCCACCAGTAACCTTATATGAAATATTACTAGGCGGGTCAAGACCGGTGTGAACCTTGCCTTAAAAGTTCATTAACTCATTGCTCAGAATGGATGGTTTCAATGTAACAAAACCTGCTGGTGGACCTAGATCATCATATTTAATAGATGGCTTTCAAATTGCAAATATAAAGACAGGGATAAAAGAAGAAAGGAATCAAGTGTTGGTACTTGCATGCACACACGTGGACACACAAATTAATCCCAAAGGTATACATTGAGTTAAAATCAATAGATGAGAACTATTAAAGAAAATATTAATTTTGTATAAGGCTAGGAAAGAAATCATGTTAAATATTCACAATCTGGCTTTTCAAAGACTCTCATAATAGCAGCGTGCAGAAGTAAGTAATCAGATACTATTTTTGAATAGTGGGAAAAAGTGGAGTTTTGTTTTCCAACACTCTCAATTCACTGGATCCTTAAAGTGCCTCCTTTGCAAAGAGTAGCAATTTAACAGTGTGACTTTTGCCCCCCCTCCTCAGTTTCTCTAGGAACCAAAAGCTGTATTTCATGCAAATTTCTCAGCAAGCAAAATTTTTAATAAAAAAAAAAAAATCAAACCTCATTCCATTATCCAATAAGAGGTAACAAGAATACACAACACGATGACACTAAATAGTTATTGGTCTAAGAGTGTTGGTCTAGTTCTCTGAACGAAGAGCATTCATAATTAAATTCACACTGGGGTACTTGTAATTGAAAACCCATTTAAATAGCTTAATTTCATTTTTTTTTTAGTAGATGAAAATCAGATTTCTGCCTCCCACCCATCTCCTCCCCTCTCTTCTGCCTGAAATTGAAGTGGGGAGTGGCTCCAAAGTCACATTTGGACGCAGAAGGGGGGACACACTGTGCTTTGAAATTACACTAAATTTTCCAAATGTGAGTATGGAGTGAATTATAAGAGGCTGTAAATTTGGAATGTTTATGAGGCCCAGGTACAGCTGGCTAAGGGCCATGGGTGCTAGTTGCACAGATTCACCCAAATTGTCTGACATTCATGTAGAAGGACTAGCCCTTTAGTGTCAATAGACTCATGCTGGTTAAGGCTAAAGATCTGAGATTTGCTCAGACTGGATGCGTTACTCTGTACACCATACTGATGTAATGAAATAAACATAGAAACACATGCATGCTGCTCTCGCATATACTGCATCCCTTTTCTTCAGCTCCTGTATCACATTTATGTTACCTGTGAAACCCAAATACTAAAACTACTAAAGCAGGAGCTTTTCACATCTAAAGAATTATCAGCATTCCTTGCTCGCTTGCTTTCCCCTAATGGAAAACTCACTAACACAAGCACATGCAAATTAGAAATCAAGGTGTACCTCTTTGACTTCAGGCAACAGGATTTTTCACATCACTGATGTAGAGGATTCCCTTGGGTACCTGATTTAGTAAATATATTAAAATAAACAAAGGGTAATTAATAACCACGAAGAGGGTTTCAAGCACAGCATGTTAAAGGCAGCCTAACTGTCTATGAAAAAGGCAGAGTTGGACTAAAAGAAGTGTGATTTTGTTCCACTTGCTTGGACATCCTGGCTTCAGCCCTGCCAGAGGAAGGGTTCACATGGAAGGGAGTATTGTGAAACGCGTCAGTCCCGCTGACTATTGCTCTGACCCCAGGGAGGCTGACATAATGATACCCACTGGCCTGGCAGCCTGGATCAGCTTTGAAGCTATCCTCAGTTCAGAGAACCAAGTGATTCCGAGTTCACAGAGAGAGAGGCTTTGAATGGCCTCTGATGGGTGTCTCTCAAGTGTTCACAGACTGCCCATCCCTCAGAGAAGCAAACTGGTCCAGCTTTCCCTGGCACTTGACTAGGGCTCATCTCTTCCATCTCCCCCCCTCCTCCTCTGTGGATCTGGTCTATGCTGCCTGGTACTGCTGACCTTAATTGCAAATGTTCTCTTAACAAATAGAACCATTTAGATACCACCCTTTTATTTATTAACTTCCTTTCTGTTTAAATTAGTAGCAGGGAATGCTTAGAATGGTGATATGAAAATGGGGTTGCATTAAAAAAAAAGTCTTTTTGCTTCACAGTGAATAACAAAGCACAGTAATTCAAACTAGTTAGCTTTCTATGGTTCAAAAAACCCTTATTGCTATTAGCTGTACTAATGTAAGTGGCAAAATAATTATCATTTACTCTACGGAGTCCAATATTTTCCAGACAGCAGTTTAATAACAAAGCAGACCTGTCATTTCTCCCAATGGTTAGTCACACTACACAAGTTCAGACTGTCAAAATATATTTAAAATCTAATTTAAAAAATTCAACATGGTTACAGCAAATCTGTGTACAATAACTGCAATCAACTAGTAAGTCAATCTAATTTTTTTCCAACATGGATATTGTTTTTCTTTAACCCCCCACGCTTTTATTTGGACTACTTTACAATTGGTGTGAACAAGTACGCTCTACTCATATATCTGCTGAAATCTCTGGGCTGCTGTAACAACATAGAATCTTTCTTTACTTAAATTTTCATTCAGCTTAACTCTGTCATTATTTCAAATGCCGTTTATCTAAATGGTCTGACTATGCATTAAAATACTTGGATAAACAAATTTGTACTCTTGTATCTGTCAGAGCTGCCCCAAATACGTTATGTGCTTTCATTCATATTTCATGTTAGAAATGCTTTTAAAACCTTACTACAAACTACTATTCTTCGTGTAACAGCATACATTAATCTTTTGCCAAATATATTATTTCTATGCCAAAAAAAAAAAAAAAAAGAAAAGAAAAGAAACATACTGAAGTTATAAAACCTGGAAGTGTTATCGGTAATATCAATTGTTCTCTATTTGAAGTTCAAATGGCTAATCTCAAAAAAAATAAAACTTCCCATATAAGGTTACTTTTTTTTCAATCTTTAGAAACAACGGATTCTTTTAGAACTGCAAGTGAATAGAGTTTGGAAGCTTAAGAGATTGTGGAGAGAAATATTTTTGTAATTCCTTTGGGACACTGCAAACATATGTTAAGCTTCTGCAAGGAATATTTACATGAGATCATGCACTTGTGAGGCATTTTTCAATTTTAGAAAAATATTACAAAGCAATAATTGAACATAGGCTTTGCAAAATGCCCCTTTGCCTTCCTCACCATCTCATTGATAGTCTCTGTTATTTTGGGAGAAAAAGAATCGGGCCTCATTAAATGTGATATTTGGCATCTTGCCTGAAATCTCATAAAGTAGATGTCCTTTTTAGATCATTTGTGTCATTTTCCTCGAGATGACCTCTACTCTCTGGCCACCTGGGGAACCCATTCTGTTACCAAGGCATTTACTTTCAAAAGAGGGGGAGGAGAGAAAGATTCTGTTTGCACACCTGAATACGAGTCCAAAAGCCATTGCGATTTCTCTGTTCTCATCACCTTCACCCAGGCTAGTCGCTGGGGATGAGCCGTGGGGACACCGGGTACTTGCATAGGAGTAGGAGAGGACGTTTTCCAGCCTGGACCACGATAGTGTAGCCCAAGCCAGAAGTCTGCCAGCACAGAGCCTCTAACAGTTGGATCTGTTTACCTAACGATTAAATAGTATTTTCTAAATAGCATAGGAATGTGCAGTGATATTCCAAGAAAGATTTTAAAAGGCCTCGTTATCGTCCAGTGCAGGGAATTAACACTGCCGGTGCACCCTGAAAACGTGCTACGTGTGCCTCTGCACTGCCCTGAGTGATGCCAAGTTGGGCGAAGGTTTTATGGCAAGATCATTCTAAGACAGACGTTTCAGGCTAGGTTCTGCTCATGCCTACCAAAATATAGAGTAGACTGATGAACTGTGTCGCGTGATCATTTTTATTTCATAATGTGGAAACTGCAGATTTATCTTTTAATAGCTTCCCCCTCTACAATGTGTTACTTTAAAGAGTTCCATAAATAGATAGATGATAGCTAGCTAGCTAGATAAGTAAATAAATGGCAGATGAAAGAACATGTTGGATTCATTGCCTGAAAATGGTAAGACTCAAATATCATCTTTTAACAGATTTAATCTTAGAAGGATAACCACAGGTTTCCCCCTTCTATCAGAAAGGATTTTCGTGAAATCTGACAGTATACAAGTGTCTCAGATGCTGAGATCATTGCTTCAGTTTCGACGTACTTATCTGTACATTAATGAATCCTTCCCTAAGAAAAGGAACAAGAAAGAGGAAATTTATTTAAGAAGGTGCAATGATACTTGCCTAATTCCTCCACACTCGGGGATGGAAAAAACTGAGGGTCCCTATAAGAAAAAGCCGCTACATGGAAGGGATCCTTTCTGAAATTAGTTCTTTTCAAGTTTGTCCTCTTAAAACAGTTCCTGAGAGCCTGAGATCTGACTGCACCCGTGTTCAATCTGGGAATGCAAGGAAGACCCTCATGCTGGAGCTGTTGGTGAAATCCTAAGAAAGTTTGCTCGACTGGCTTTCTTTTATAATGAGCATCAAACCGTACCGCGGAAAACCCCAACTATCGAGATTTCTGTAAAGATTTGAAAACCTAGTATCTGGATTTCCTTCTTTCCTTTCTCTTTTTCCTCCTTACCCCGTCTCTAACCACAGCAGCAAAAAAGATAAATCTGGAAAATGGGCCGGAAAATTAATAGAGCAAAAATCAGATGATCTGGAGCTGACGATCTTATTTAAAGAATGTTCCTGGGGCGGCTCGCGGGTGGGGTGGGGGGCGTCCCAAGGTGAAGGGCGGAGCCTTTTAGGGCTGAATCCCGCTCCCTCCCTCTACGCGCCCACCCGGAGCGCCGAAGAGCCGGGAGTTTTGATGTCCCTGGGCGCTCCACTCTGGCCAAGGCAGTCCTCTTGGAAAACTTAAAGCAAATTCCAATACAAATCCGAGTCCCCTGCTGGGGCGCGGGCGCCGGGTGGGCGCGGGGCCCTCGGGCGCGCGAGGTATGGCCGCCGTTAGCGCCCCCGGGCGCCGGGCGGCTTCTAGGGCATCTCCGAGCGGGGGCGCATTGCGGGCGTCCGGAGCAAACCGGCCTCCGCGGGCGCAGCCGCGGGTCTGGGGCAGCAAGGACTTTCCGGTGGCCTCAGGCAGCCGACGGACCCGCCCCCGTGGTCCCTGCCTCCTCTTTCCAGGCCCGGGGCAGGGATGCTCAGGGCTAATGGGGCGAATGGGCCTCACAGAGCAAGTGTATACAAGGACGGGGGCGGGGTGGAGGGTGTGTGCGTGTGTGTGTGTGGGGGGGGCGGGTACATGGAAAGTGGGAGAGCGGGAGACCTCAGCATCCTCCCTGCCTTCATCTCCTTCATTCCAGGCGTCAAGATCCTTGGCACCAGAAGCTCCAGCCAGCGGTCAACATTCCAGAGCCACCTCCCAGCTCCTCTCCACATCCCTGCCTTTGTCTACACTTACACGGGGCAGGAGTGACTTCATGGGTCCAAGGACTCAACTTAGGTGACTGCCTTCTGGCCCAAGAGCAGTGACCTCTGAGTCCCTCTGATGGCCGATGGTGACTAGGCGTTAGAGGAAGAGGAGCCAAAAATTATAAAGACCCTGGGATGGGACAGGGTCAGGGGCAAAGGGTAGAAGCCCTTGCTAAGGACATGCTATTGTTTTTAGGAATCATGGTGATCTCAGGGTCTGTCAGTCACGCTACAAACAGATTCTTCCTGGCGGCAGGTGGGGGCCTGGGAATAACCTCGAGTTGACTCCTGGCGATTAGGGTCATAAGCCAAGGTTGGCCTCAGTTAGGAATTCTCCCCCAGCCCCTGCACATCAGCCCCTTCCTATTCTCTGCTCCTCTGGGCCTAGTTTGGGATCACCTATTGTTCTGGGATCCTCAGGCCTGCTTTTCTTCTGGAGAACCCGCCAAAGGAGGCCAGAAACCCACTTCTACAGGCTTCCAGAAGTGGATGAGGTCACATAGAACCAGGGCAAATTTTGGTTGCAAAGAGGGAATCTGGACCGTTGACCCGATTTTTCAGCCTAGGATTCCCTTCCCAACCAGCCTTGGGGATTCATTCAGGAGGGTGGTTTCCATTCGTCCCTGCCCAGTTCTATAAGGTTTCTGGGCCTCTGCTATTCCCTAACCAAAAGAACCAACCACAAGGAAAAACCCTCCTTTGGAATCTTAGCTTGGAAATACTCAAGGTTGGTGATCAGAATATTTAGAATAAGCTCAAAATCCAAATCTCCAGTGTGCAGCTCACACCCAGGCCTGGGCTGGGCGGGGTGGGGGTGTGGGGGGTGAACACAGAACTATTTCCTCTCCTCCCCCTCCTCTTCCCAACCTCCACAGACACCCCTCCCTCATCCTCCCTTCTTGAATTAATGCCCCTTTCTAATCATAACTAAAGATACAAGAATCTGTGGAAAAGGGAGGAATGTGATTTTGCAATCCAAAATCCTAATTATAGGAAAAAATTG